ACATATTGTAATCAACTGGGTCAACAAACATTCTTTTAATTCTAAAAGAAAGCTAGAAAAACCATTACAGGATAAATTTTATGTGCAGACAAAGAGATGCTCTCCTGTAGATTTTTAAAGCAGCATTGGAGGACATGCTTAAACTCTGTTTAAATGCACTGTTAGGAAGAATATTGAATACTAGCAGAAGAATGTTAACTCACATTTGCAAGGTTGACGATCTTTTGTCTCTTTGTTGTAGAAATTGAGGACGAAGAATGAATGCAATCAACTTCATACAACTTTTCATTGTGGCCAGAACCAGGGAACAAATGTCTGTCCCTTGCAGCAGAAGCTTCAACAGCGACAATAGCAGCATGTCGTAATGGGTGCCAATAACAATGACTTGTATGAAATGGCTGCTGAGTCCACTGCCAAGGGTTTAAACAAGAAACAGCAGTGTAACATTGTTGGAGATTATTAGATGAACCATTTGAAAGCATAGTTATATCTTGTACTATCCCCTTAGCATCAGCATGAGAAGTGAATGTTTCCAACTGTTTGAAGCAATAGGTTTCAGTTTTCGCTTTGTTAGTTTGCATATGCCAAGAACAGACTTCATCACATGCACTTGCAATTATCAGCCCAGCTGATGGATCTACTATTACTGCAGCATTGACAACCTGCAGTAAAATGCAGCTTTAGATGAGAACATAATATCCACAAACAATAGAAACGAAGAAACGGAACTCCACCAGAAAAGGATTCAAGGCATACTTAAATAAAAATGTACTGAATATGACTTTGATCTACATGGCCTTATTTATTCAGCTATGGTTCTCTAATGCAGGCCATAAATATGCAGTTCATATTAGAGTTTACAGAAAGCTTATATGCATAAGTTATTTTGTAGCATCTGTTAATTTTGATCACTCAAAATTTTGAATTGCAGAGTGAAAATTTTGAAAAAAGATAAATTTGTTTAAGTGACAGATTAAGAGTAAAAAGCAGTTCTAGAAAGCAGTCCTAAGGTATTTCATGAGAAGCTAAACACAATTCATCGCTAATAACCATGTGCATTAAATCTCTTTTCTAATGAACTCTTAGGCCTTAGCCTAACAGCACATCCATACAAAGAAGTTCATCAAAAGCAATGCCAAAAAGCCACCAAACTTAAGAAAGCCTTAAAAGTCCTAAACTAGTCACATTAAACAAAGAACTAGTATAACTATTTTAGCCTCTATAAAGTCCTACATCAGTCAAAAACCGAAAAGTTTTGTATTTTTTTGACACTTGGTCTTGTTTTCCTAGATCCTTCCGCAACATAAATAATTATGAAGATTAGTCTGGCCCCACTAGTAATCTCTATGATGTGAGGTTTCATTTCGTAGCCAATGTTGGTGAGGGTAGGGTGGGTTTGCCTACAGATCTTACATTCAAGCCATAGCACTGATGGAGGATGAAAATATGCTAATTGAGGGTTTAAGTTATCTAGGACTTTATTTTATATTTTCTGGGTCTAATTGAAATTTTTACATATTTTAGGCTGTTTTAGATTATTTATGCTGATTACTATATTCCTTATTTTCCAAGTATTAGGATTTTAGGCTTAAATTTGGTATTTGGCATTTTACTAGGTTTTAGTTATAAATGCCAAGTTAGTTTTGTTTGTAGGAGGCTAGGATATATGATTTATTGAGATATTGAGATTTAAAATATTTGATATTTGAGGATTTTAGCGGAAAATTCAGATTGCTGCTTGAGGGTTTCGATTGTTCTATATGAAGCACCCTATGTTGTCTCTCTAAGTCAACTTCCAAGAACCAATCATGGGGTCCTGCTAGAAATCACTATAAACCAATATTTATAGAAGCTTCTTCTTACAATGTAAAGGCTCTTTGCTATTGTAAATGGACTAGAGTTCATGCAATCCAGCCTATCTGATAGATATCCTTAAGCAAAGATAAAATTAGTGCATTGAAAAACAGTTAAAATAATTACCAAACCATCTCCAAACTTTGCCAACTCTACAGCAGACTTCATAAAGCTGAAAATTGATTTAGTATCCTCTTCACTAAACCCAGTAATGCCATCAATATTGCTGCAAATAAAAAAGAAGAGGGATTGCAAAGCAAACAAATCAGGAAGCATATTATAGTCTTTAAAATATAAAGGATTACAGCTTGTGATAGGTATAAAAAATAAGTTAAATGACAGACAAAATAATTTTAGCTCCACATAAAATCATGAGTTAAACATTCACAATCCAAACACCATTTCCTACTCTGAAATCCCTCCAAAATATAGCTATAGACAATGTGCTGATCAAAATGCTTCCTATGCAACCAAAGTGAGTCCTTACATAGTAATAATAATTGTGATCATATCCTGGTGTTGGAATAAATAGATAAGAACTATTTCCTACTCTATTTCATTTGTTATCGTATGCAAAGAAAGAAAATAAGAAAATACAACAAAAATACATTTTAGGCTATTGCTTTCATACCATCAAAAGTAAGAGCATATTTTGAATAGTTAATGCATCTGAAATCATTGCAGTTCACAAGATTTATATCTTACAAAGAGTTCCTCTAAATAAAAATTGCTAATTTTGTTTCAATATTGAACATCATTTTAGAGCTTCTGCTTAGAATTTACGAAGTTATTACTCCTACTATTGGAGTTAACTAGTGGCTAGCCCAAGAGTTAAAGAATATGTTTAGACTGTGCCAACTTCCAAGAGACAAACACATCACCTAACTCAAACTTAAAAACCTTAAACCAAAAAACTCTACTCCTCTAACTTTCACCAAAATGAATAAAAGTAAACCAAAAGGGAACATGAATAGCATCGTTAAAATATTTAAAGTGAAACTTGTGCACCTCTTCATACCCTTCTCAACAATGGCAATCAGTTACATACCTTTCTAGCTTGTATCAATATTTTATACATTTAATGAACAATGGCTACTTGGCTTGACTTCAAAAGAAAAGAAGGTCTATCGTGTAGGGCTTACTAGGTTAGTGGATGATATGAAGTTGGCCAGAGTTTGCACTGTGCTTCCCACTCCTCTTTTGATAATGCTGCATATTTGCTAACCTATTAAAACAAAACATCACAAGAAGAACTTCAGGAGGTACCAAGGGCCATGCCTTCTGTAAAGGCAGCTTCTTATAAAAATATTTAATAGGAAAATGAGAAGAGAAAAGGTCAAAATTTTGATTTAAGAACTTCCAACTTCCACTGGTTTCAGTCAAATGAAAATTTTAACAAAAGAAAGAGAAAACAAAAGAGCAAATTTACAGGGAATAAGTTAAAAAATACAATGTGACAATAATAATGATAATAATAAAAATAACAGAAGACAACGCGCGCGCGCGAGAGAGAGAAAGAGAGAGAGAGAGAGGAGATAGACCCATATAAAGGTGCATGCGCATCCACATAAGACATAATGAAACAAAATATAAAATGGGGAAAACCATTTCCTAAGTTTTGAAACATAAACCATTCCAAAGAAAGTGCTAAAAGGACAAGAGAAAAGCTATAGGAAAGAGAATCAAGATAAAAAGACCTTTTCAATCTAAAGTTGATATTCGGCACCTTCATCTTCCATCAAGGAAGAGCAGTAATGCAAGGTTATTGTTCATTGTTATCCACACGCTTTAATACTCTTTTGTAGTAGAAGACCCATTGGTAGGATGGGGGAGGGGGAACTAAAATTAATATTAGATAAAATAATGTTACTACAATATAATAAAAAAAAAAGAAAAAAAGATGACCCACTTTTGTAACGAAAGGACACAAGTTGTAGGAATCCACAATTTCTTGTAAATCTGGTGGCATGCTGTAGAATTGTGTTTCATTTTCACAAGCTAAACATAATATCACCGACAGCTCTGGGCTTCCTGTCACACAAGCCAATTGAAAGTGGCATCCATATGATTGAGATTTTCATAAGGCGACAATGTTACAAATGTCAAATAAAGAGAACTAAAAGAAGCATGCAAGCATGATGATTTCTAGATGTTCAAATAGGATTGATATTAATTGCTATTATGAACATTTTAATTAAGGTTTCATTTCTCAAACCAGAATAAAAG